AAATTGAGATTTATGCATCATCTGAAAGCTGAATAAATAAACTTCCCATTGATGTATGGTTTGTTATGATAGGACAATAATTGGCCGAGATACAACTATTTGAAAATCTGGAATCTGAGGGTGCCAAAAAATCGAAATATTGAGAAAATCGCCTTTAAAGTTGTCCAAATGAAGTTCTTAGCAATGCATATTACTAATCAAAAATAAGGTTTTGATGTATGTACAGTTGGAAATTTCCATTTTTAACTTTAACAAAACAAGAACATTCAGTTCAGCTCATCAGAACCTCCCTCTAGATCCAATTAGCTCGGCCGTCCAGAGTGAAAAGGCATAGTTTTCACTGACAACACAGTTTTGACAAAAAAATGATTTGGAATAAATCGCTTTAAATATTCAGAGATTTAATGCAGAAGTTGAAAGAAGCGTGACGCCATCAGTGGTAATCAGCAGCATCCATTATAGCTGTAGTGAGAATGAGAGAGAAATTTAGCCTTACCTCCTCCTTCCTGCCGCCTCCTCCTCCCTCCTTCCTGCCTGCTCGTTTGATTGTTTTTACATTCCCGCATTATGTAAATATGTGCATTGTGATTCTTTGGGGAGCATCTGAGCATTAGTGAGGGCAATCTGGGCCTTTGCTAGAAATGCTAGATAACATATGTCCACTTGTCACGCAAACGCAAACACACAAACAAATGGACATTAATAAACTCACGACCAGGCCCCATCTGCAATCGCGCACCATTTGCGGGGACCCCCAGGTGTCATTTACGAATGCCGTAAACTTACGGCTGTGAATAGACATTATTAATGGAGCCCAAAGTAGAGATACAAGGAGCTGCTTAGCCCTGAACCCTTAGTGAATATGAATAACAATGGGTGAGGGATCATTACCTCGGCCTGGAGGGAACACTTAATCAGGTTTTGCGTAATGAAGGCTGTTGGCGTAAATCGGGCACATGCATAATGTTCTGCTGACGTGTGCTCAGCATTGCATTAGCAACACTGCCACTGCCATGTTAGCAGCGGTGTAATTGAGTCAACAGAATATGAAGTCCAAAAGAACAGCCTTTAACAGTATTTTTCCATTTTTCCCCCACTGTCATCATGCGTAATATTCACAAGTAGGTTAGATGAATTGAAATGCTTTTTAAATTCACAGGCATGAAACGACATTGATTTATCCACATTATGCTAATATCAGTCAAGATACCACCAATTTGTTTTTTTTATATCATAATCTAATAGCTTTTAGTTTGTCAAAACCATGCACCCTTGACAAGTACTGTGGACGAAAGCAATGAAGTCACTTTCGAAATGAATGAATTCTAGCCACTTCCCTTGCAGCAAATTGATGGCCTGGAAAAAGAAAATAAATTATGAGCATTAGTGCTTACTATTAGTACTTACTATTGCAGAGGCAGGTGGTTATTATGGTTTAGGGGGAGGGACATTCTTGTTCTAGAGCAGTGGTTTTCAACCAGGGACCCAGGGCCCACATGTGGGCCTCAGCAAACAAGTGGGCCTCATGGTGACTAAAACTATTTAATAAATGTGTTATTAGTGTTATTTTAGTGACATTGAGATATTATTGTAATTTCTATTAATATTTGAATTTAGTCTTTATTTTAATTTTAAACACTTCTAAAAACTTTGGGTCAAATATGGAAATTTTTTATTTAAATTTTAAATCCAACAATTGGGTTAGTCCATATTTGACCTAAAATTGGGTTGAAACAACCCAGCATTTTTAGAGTGAAGTTTTAGTATTTCTATTGTGTGTGTTTGTAATTTTTATTCATTTTTGTAAAATATAAAATATGTATTGTTTTTATTATTTTTTATTTTAGCTTTAATTATTTTAGTACATCAAGTTATACTAAATGAAAATGAGAAATGTTGCCTTGGCAGCTAGCTTTAAGTTTTGTATTAAAGGTTATTTATTATTAACTATAATGACCTTGTAAATCAATAGTCATTTAAAAAAATATATATTTAACTTTAATCTAAATTGAAATGCTAAAAAAAATTAAATATAAGCTTAAATTTAATTAAATTATTGAAATTTAATAATGATTTTATAGTATAGTGTTGTTTTTAATTTAAAGCTGCAGTCCGTAACTTTTTTTTGGTTAAAAATGATCCGAAATCAATATTTGAGCAAGTACATAACCAGCCAGTGTTCGAAACTATCACCTTTAGCCCGATTCACAATGGTCATCTTATAATAATGTTTTCTAATTTGAGTGGTACGGGTAGGTTTTCGTGGGAAATTCGAGCATGGCGCCTGGGATTACACAAAATTTGTATTTTAAAGACAACCAATTCAAAGGGAGCATAATTAGCTTTTTGGGTTACGAGAATTTCTTAATATGAAATTCGAGGGGTATGACAATTAGAGATTAAACTGTACAGAAATTGAAACCTACTCTCTTGAAACAGAGTGTCAAGGGGTAGGGGTGAAAATATTCCCCTAAGAAACCACTACTATACGTCACACATCATCATACGTCGTCTAGCTTCTACAATACACACACCTATACTGGTGTGCTGGTGTGCATTAGAGCCTTTAATTACCGTTCTATATTAATGCGCTGCTTACTGACAC